TAACTGTCTAAGACTCTCTAAACCACTATCAAGAAAAGAACTGACAGAGTTTGCAAGCAAAGAATGTCTCAGTATTTTTACAGGTGTTCACAATAGAGAATATCAGATATTTCAGGTACTTGCCTTGGCCTTCTGATTTTTTCTGGGTAACATCTTCACCGTTTTTGCTCGTTTGTTCTGTTAGTTGCTTCTCACATTGAGTGAAGATGAACCCGGAGAGTCTACTTACGGCAGCGTTCTTCATGCAACGTTAATCTTTCTGGGCTGCCAAAATACCAAGAACCAGGCTCAGTACCCAAGAAATTCTGCTAAGTCCAGGCAGAATGAACTCAATGAACTCTTGTTCCTTGCTTTGTTTCTGACTTAGAACGTGGGGTTAGCTCTGTAAATTTAGGTCAGTTCACTCCCATACCTAAATTCCTCCCTCGAATCCCACTAAGCCATGTGCTCTATGCTTCTAGGCTTACGGTTTTTGGGCAACGTTAAAGATTGTACATTTATTATTATTACTGTTATACCATGGTTGGTCTTCTCATTTCCACTGCTGGTCACCTGCCCTTTCACCCTAACGAGATGGACCATATTTCTTGCCTTCTACGGGGCTCTCTCTCTAGAATCCTTCGCTGTAATTCCAGCTGCCCTTAGTATTCCTGTTAATGATTGATGATCCCACTTTTATGTACCCCCTTATGAGTTGGGAATTTTGTTGATCCTTTGTTAAATTTTCTTTCAGCTCTGGATGGCCATCTCTGAATGACTTTAATTTCATTACTACAAAGAGCCATCACAATGTGGAAAAATTCAAAGACTTTAAAGAGGATTCTCCTCATGCATCTCCCAACTTGTTGAGCAAGGACCCCACCATATTTTTAACACTTTATCAATAGAACAGGTAGTGAAGAATAAAAACAGACTACAAAAATTCCTAAAATGATGTCCTGGTGATGATTTTATAAAAACAGTCATGGTGTAATTCGAGCGATTTAAGCAGTGTCAGTGGAGGATACTGGTCTTGAGCTACCTTAGCTGTACTTATGTTTATGGGATTGGAAAGGAAAGGGGTCCCGTGATTTACATTCTGCAGTGCTTTATATTTTACCTGAACTCATTTTCATTTGCCATTTTAAAATTGCTCTGATTTCCCCATGCAGTGATGTATTATCTTAGCTTTCCCACTGATATAACATTATCACCTTGCTCTTAGTGGTTGTTCTTTTATAATCTCAAGTTATGACTATTGTAAATTCAGGAAAATGGAAAACAAATGCAGTGGAAAGTATCCCTTCTCCTTACTTTCCCTGCCACCAGCCACGTTTATACACGACAGTACTTGGTGGCTGCCAAACACCAATCCAGATCTTCTGTAACCTTGAGTACACTCACTCAAGTGCGTGTGGGAGCGCTCTAGCCGAAATGCTTGCAATTGAACAGTATTGTGTGCAGGTTTCTATAGTGTCACCCAGAAAGTCTATGAAATATTTTGTCACTAATATGCCCAACTGATACAATTGTTTTAAAATTTTATCCTATAAAATATTCATTTTTCCAATCTGCTAGGATGATCTTATTGCTCCGTAGGTGCTTTTTATTTTGTCTGGTTTGATTGGTAAGTTTCTCACATAGCTCTTCCAAAAAGAGTTTGTGGCTATTCCAAATATCACTATCTTTTGCCTATACAACTTTTTTGCACCTGTATTTTCACCATCTTTACAAAGACTTGCATATTTTAAAATTTTACTTGTTTTCTATATCTGTGTCTTTTACCTTATTTTTCATGAATTGATTAAATTTCAAGAAGTCAAAACTTACACTGAATGTTTCTTGTAAAATGCTTACATACATAAGTATATGTAACACAGCATTTAAATATATAACTTCAAATTCAGTAAAATGATCTTAAAAGTAGTTTGTTATGTTTAACCAGCACCATTAGCTGAATAGAGTTGACATTACTCTACTTCAGCTCACCTATCCTTATTCCTTCCAAAACCTTTTCCCAGATACCAATAGACATCATATGAGAATGAAATACACTGAGCATTGCAAGTACTCACCAAAAGACAGAATTACCTGCTGTACATTTTAACTGGATTACTTCCTTGCCAGTATTCGTAAACTACATGCACAATCTCCCTCAAAATTAAAATTTTCTTAAAAACTTTCCCATTCTTTTAAAGGCAGTAGGTGACTCTTGCCAAACAGAATTGAAGATATAAGGCTACTAAAAGTTTTTCAAATGATCAAGAATTTTGGAGTGAGTTTGAGATGCCTTTGTGGAAGATTCAGCCATTGAAACTATATTTATGACCATGTTGTTTGTTTCACATTGAAGTGTTTGGCTTTGGGGAACTAGACCCTGGAGAATTATTTGTTGTCATAATCTATGAACCAAGGCATTAGCGGTAATGTTTCTTTTGTTACTTTAAATACAATTTCTTCTAAACCAAGGGTTTTCTGATATTCATGTCTTCAGGGAACCCTAAAAAAGACAATTTACCTCTATACAGGGTTGTACTTCTGAACAACATGGAAGAAAAACACAGCAACAAAATCATGGCCATCTCTATCCCTGTAACCTCAACATAAGAGAATCAAAGGTTGACAAACAATAGTTAATATTCTCCTTTGCTTTTCCTTGATATTTTAGAGTTTGTTTATTATGGTGCAGGCCAAGACGAAAGGGCTAAAGGCAGCTGAAAGCCCTGTGGTGCAGTGAAGCTTGTGCGCAGAGGAGGGCTTCTGCCCTCGGGAGATTGCCTTGGCCCTGGGTGCATGCACTAGACCTTCCCCAAGAAATGCAGCCCAGGCTGTTGGCACGTTCCCTCCAGGCTGGTGAGTTATGCTGTCCACAGCCTGTGGGCTGTCCTAGTGGGTCTGACTCAGGTGAGAGGAAGGAAACAAATCACAAAGCTTGGCATTACCCCTCCCATTTCTGAGGAACTCTACCCCTCTACGTAAAAGGCCTTAGTGTGGGGGATTTCTTTTCTCTTTTTTTATGTCTTTTTGAGACAGTTTCTCACTATGCTGTTCACGCTGGCTGTCAACTCACTTTGTAGCTCAGGCTGGCCTTGAACTTGGCGAGGATCTTCCTGCCTTATCCTCCTGAGTGCTGAGATTACAGGCCTGTACCATTATGCCTGGCAACATGGGAATTTCTGAGTGTACTTTTGTTTTAGTGTCTAAGTTTCAGTTTTTCTATTTTTTTCCCGCTTTTCCTCGATCCAAGCTATTTTCTAATATCTGTATTTTATTTGTTTTCCTTTTTAGGATTTTCACTATTTTTTCATACTCAGGTCTTGTTATATAGCACACTAGCCTTGAATTCAGTATGAAACCCAGGCTGGCCTCAAACTCGTGATACTTGTGCCTCAGCCTACTGAGTATTACAATTACAAGCATGAACCACCACGCTCAGCATTATTTTCCATACTTTTAATCAATTTTATGTTACTACTGTTTGCCTCTTCAGTTGATTAACTTACTCTTTGTTTCCCTTTTACTTATTACTTTAAATATTTTCTTATTTCCCTCTTCTTTTTATTTCCTCTTTTCCTCCTTTACTTTTCATCAATTCTGCTATTCTTTTTTCTCTTTTGCTTTGGTTATGCTTTGTTGTATTAGTTTCACCTTTTCAAGAATATTGTATAGCATGTCTTGGTTCATTTGGTTATAGGCGATGGGTTATATTTTCTCATTTACTGTTTGCTATCTTGGGAGTTCTCATTTGCCTGCATATGGGACTTGTACTGTTTCGCGATGCTTTCCTGTAAGCAGTACTGAGGAGTGAACACAGGGTCACCGGGGTGCTCCCACAGTGAGGTGCCACAGAGCTCCACCCCAACCAGCGGAGAGAAATCACACCTCACATCAGGCATGACCTCGGCCCACAGGAACCTTGACCTCTGCTTCAGCCTGTGTGATGGAGGAGTCAGAAGCACCCAGCCTGCACCCGCACCCCATGTAGGCACAGTTAGCGGGGGTTAAGTCTCACTGCTGGACACTGAGCTTCACTGAAAGAGCAGAGACCTGCAAGTCATCTCTCATCAACACTACACTACAAGGCACATAAGCATAATCCGTAGCTAATATTATCCTTTCGTTCCCTTTTTATTTTAGAGATTGTTTAGTGTGGTGCAGGTAAAGACTAAAGGGATGAAGGCAGCTGAATGCCACATGTTGCAGTAAAGCTTGTGTGTAGACGAGGGCTTCTGCCCCTCGGGACATTGCCTTGGCCCTAATGCATTGCCTTGGCGTGCATTAGACTTTCCTCCAGAAATGCAACCCAGGCTGTCAGCACTCTCCCTCCATGCCCAGTGACTATGATCTGTACAATAGATAACTGTGAAATGGGAAGAAATTGTTCAAAAGGAAAGAAGAGCTAGGGTGTGGGAGGGGGAAAGGAAGGAAGGGAAAAGGACAAATGATTTTAAAAAAGGATAAAATGGCAATAAATCTTTGTAAATAGGGAGGGGAAGATGGGCTGAAGTGAGGAGAGAGGCTTGGGAGAAAAGAGGAATCAAAATATATCATGTACTGGTGCAAATTCCCTGCGATAAATACAATCATTGCGTGCACCTAAATTGTACCAATACACTTAATTAATAAAAAAATAGAGACGTATTCACAGAGGTCTGGCAAACACATTCTGCTGCCTAACGCACACCAGCCTTCACTGCTGGAAGGATCCCACACTCGTGAGATCTATGGAGAAAGTGGGTGAGGCAACTTCTCACACAGTAAGTGCTGTGGCAATTTGCACTAACAGTGGACAAAGAAGTCCTAGGAACGATGTACAACTAAATCTCCTTCGAGCCAAACAATTCAATAGACTGATTCCCAGAGCACATTTTTTAAAAATTAAGTACAATTTAGTTATTAGTTGTACATAATGATCACATTCGTTTCATGAATGTGGGATGAATGCACACTCCCCAGATGCAGTACAAGCTGCAAATAAATACTTTAAAAATGTTCAACATCTCTGGCCACTGGAGAGATGCAAATTAAAACAACGCTGAAATTCATCTCCACCCCAGGAAGAATGGCTAGCATCAAGAAATCAACCAATAAGCAGTACTGGAGGGGCTGTAGAGAAAAAGGAATCCTTTTCTACTGTTGGTGGGGGTGTAGACTGGTGCAACCACTGTGGAAATCAGTGTGGAGATTCCTCAGAAAACTAAGAGTAGAGGTTCCATTTGTCTCAGCTATTCTCCTCCTTGGTATCTTCAGGGAACATCATTAAGAAAAACCTCCTTCCTAAGCAAGCCTCACGGAAAACAGTAAGAAAATTCCATTCCAACTGATGTGGAAATCCCCCAATGGAAACATACTTGTTTCTATGAAACAGAGAAATGTAAAACATAAAAACATAGAAATCTCAATATATTTGCTATATAGATGAAAAAAACCAAGGAAATGATTCTTCCAAATGTTAATAGTCCCATAGTTACTGATTCACATAACATTGAAGATGACAGAATATTAGTTAAAGAGCTAAAATGATTATAGAAATGACTAATGAACTCAAACAGGAATAAATGAGTGAAAGAGATAAGAAAGACAATATTGATATAAAAGAACAAGAAAAAGATGAGGATTTCAAAAAATAAAAATAAACAAATCCTGGAAATAAAAAGCTGAAAATTTCAAAGTAAAACCCCACTGAAATCCTCACTAATAGACTAGATGAAGCAAAAGTGAAAATTTCAAGGCTTGAAGGTGGAAAGATGACATAATACATTTTGACAGCAATAACGTAAAAAATAAGAAAATATAAATAAAATATGCAAAACACTTGGAATACAATTGAAAAACTAAACGTAGGAGTTTTGGGAATAAAATAGGTCATAGAAACTCTATTCAGTAAAATAGCAAATAATACATCAGATTTTTTAGAAGTAGTGAATTTCCACACATGGTAGGCATTTAGAACCCCACACAGATATAACCATAAAGAATTTCCTCACATTAACAGTTAATGCTTAATTATTTGATCAATCTTGCATGTCTGTATTTGTTTTCCTGAGGAACCACTTTGAAGATATCAACATGTAATACAACAATCATTGTTAATTTCCTGTCACCTTGTCTGTAATTCAGTATCACTTGTATTGTTCTTGTGCTGTTTTGTAAATGGATGTCTGTTTTTTATTATGCTTTCGCTGTTTTCTTTTTTTAAGTATAAACTGTTAAAGGCACAGAACAAAAGAAAATCTGTAACACAAGGGGCTGGGGATTTAGCTCAGCAGCACAGTGCCTGCCTGGCAAGCACAAGGTCATGAGTTTGATTGCTGGTACTGGAAAATTAAAAAAAAAAAAAAACTAAAAATAAAACTAAAATAAAATAAAATAAATTAAAAAAATCTGTAACACAAAATGTCAAACCACTTACAAAGTTAAACTCATCCAAGTAACAGCTGATTTACCAGTAGAAACGTGAAGGATGAAGAGGCTTTAAAATAATGTATGTCAAGTACTGAAGTCGGTGAGCTGTACATCTATTCTACTAAAAGAGTCCTCCAACACGTATCTGCCGAGAAATGACTTTCTGTGAATTTTTTCTAACGATTTCTCTGAGTCTTCCCCTTGTTCATTTTTAGTTACTTATTGACAGTCTTCTTTTCCCTCTACTTGAATTCGATTACTTAGAAATAAGTGACTCTTACATTCCATAATCATTTAACTGATAGTTATTACAAACCTAGTAAGTGTAAAACACATATGAAACAGAAGTCTGTCTCTCACAGACTTCCAATCTAGAGAGAATGGTGGAAAATAGCTAAAGTCAGAGCATAATCACATCAAAATACTGACAACGTGGTCATTGGTACTGAGGAAATGAGAACGTCGCATTACGTCAGGAGTGGAAGACTCAACAGTTACATGAAAGGCTTCAGCCTCACTGGCAGTGTTGCACTTAGCATGACATGAGTGAAACCAGAGCCTTGAAAATGGCACTGGTGGAGACAGCAGCACGAGCTGTGAGGAGAGGAAAGCCTTTCTTGAGGCAGTTGGGAAAAATCAACACTGCTGAAGCACAGGGAGGGAAGTGGTGAGAAACAGAAGATGTGCTGGGAGCAGTGGGGTGGGAGGAGGATGCGTCCAAGAGCTCCGGGACAGGGCAAGGGATGTCTACAGCAAGGTGGAGCCAAGGGGCAAGTAGAAGAGGGCCATAAACCCTACACTGTAAATATTCTAAGTCATAGCATAGATTTAGAAATTTTTAAGTATAGAAGGTCCCTCAGGTTGTTAGTACAGAATGGACAGTTTTCGTTCCCATGAATCTTTGAACAAATGATTAATAATTTATTCTTTATACTTACAGTTTTTCATCAGTGCCTTTTTGTGTACAGAATTATTACAGTCGTCATGGGAGGTCGGTACGTGCACACAGCACATCCGGTGTCCTTTTACTCCCTCTGCTCCTTCCCTCCTTTCCCCGCCCACCTCTCGGTCCACTTCCCTTTTGCAGAAGATTAATCACATGTTATGGCAAACATGCTGCTCACAGCAGACGTTAGCTAGCAGTCGAAGTCTCTGGTTTCACCCACAGTCTCTTCATGGCATTTTTCACCTCTGCATTTCTCAGTGTGTAGATCAGGGGATTCAGCATGGGCGTGATGATGGAATCTGACACAGCCATTGCTTTGTCAATGGGGTACGTAGCCACAGGCCTCACGTACAAGAAAATACACGGCACAAAGAACAGCACGACCACCGTGAGGTGGGAGCCGCAGGTGGAGATGGCCTTGCGCCTCCCTTCGAAGTTGTGAGACTTCACAGAGCATAAAATGACTACGTAGGAGGCAATGAGAATAAGGAAGATCGCCATGCACATGATGCCGCTGTTGAGGATGACCAAGAGGCCCAGGGTGTAGGTGTCCGTGCAGGCCAGGGTCAGCAGCTGAAACAAGTCGCATATAAAGTGATCTATGACATTGGGGCCACAGAAAGGTATTTGGTACACGAAGAGAAGCTGAATGGTTGCATGCAGCAATCCTCCTACCCAAGCTGCCCCCAGTAGCGAGCGACATATGCAAGGCCTCATGATGGTCAGGTAGTACAGAGGCTTGCAGATGGCCACATAGCGGTCATAGGCCATCACAAGGAGGATGATGATCCCCACGCCGCCGAAGAAGTGCTCTGCAAAGAGCTGGGTCATGCAGCCTTCGAAGGAGATGGTGGTGGCCTCAGAGAGGGAGTCCACAATCAGCTTAGGGGCAATGACAGAAGAGTAAGTGACATCCAAAAGGGACAGAAAGGTGAGGAAAAAGTACATAGGTGATCTCAGACTCGGACTGGTGATCACGGTTGCCATGATGAGCAGGTTTCCCAACACGATGACCATGTACATGATTAGAAACACGGCAGAAAATAGTTTCCGCAGGTCTGGGTTCCCTGTAAGTCCCAAAAGAATGAATTCTGTCACGTTGTTTTTATTTCCCATCTCTCTGGTGAGAGAACCTAAAAAAAAAGGAGAGAATTTGGGAAATCTGAAAAAGAAATACACAAGTTGTAATTACTGATTAATTGGCTTCCTATATTTTCAGGGTCCCAAGGCATTTCTTATTTATTTATTTATTTATTTATTTATTTATTTATTTATTTACTTACTTACTTAGTTACTTACTTACTTATGTATTTATTTACCATCCTGGAGTTGTGCTTAAAGAAAATGTTGAATGAAGAATTTACAGATGAAGAATCACAATCAAGAATGAAGATTTACAATCTTCATAAAACCGGTGTTTTCCCATTCCTTTTCTCCTGTCTTTTTAAGTTGTTGTTCCATTTTAAAGCCGATTTCTTCTTTTGCTACCTTTATGATTGTTATTATTACTAAATACCTTCTTTTGGGAACTTACCACATTCCAGACATGAGAATCTCCCTATCACTAGCTTCATTTTACAGATAAAGAAATAGACTCTCGTAGAGTTCAGGAGACTTACCCCACATTTCTTCTTAGGGAGCAGTGAGGTATAATATGGACTGCACTTTCCAGTTCCCTGTTCAGGGCCCACAAATAACAACATTGCATTGGTAATTGTGGTTGGAGATCATCTTCCAGCCACGGTGTTAGAGATTGTACAACACGCTCATGACTCTGTCTGATCTTTAAAACTACCTCTGAAATGAATTTTTGTTCCTGTGCTCTTATTCAAAGAAATGTCAGTGTTTTTGTAAATTTATATTTTGCTTCTATAATGTAAAATATCAATGTATACCTAAAAATAGGGATTACACAATCTCAGCTGATATATTATTGATAGAGATTACACACTGTGAAGATCCAGCTAATCTTTAAATCCATAATAGAACTAATTTGAACCAGAATCAGCCTGATTCACTTCTTCCAGCTTTCTTTGTCCCCTAGATGGAGCAAAGGATTCCCAGGCATGATAATGATGGCAAAATAACGAACTTTCAGGTTGAGACTGTTGCTTGGTCAGGGTTGCATGATCTCATGTGGAAATACTGTTACTATACCCAGTGTAATGAAAAATTAAAGCCCAGGTATTTACATTTCTTGCATACAGTCATTTAACTGCTGTTTTGTAGAACAAGTGTTTTGATCACAGAGCTCCCCTGCTATGTTCCATCCCTAAAAATGATTGCTTGCAGATTCCTGTGAGCGGCAAGTGACAATTCCAGTGCCTCTGGTGGCAGAGGCCAAAACAAGATTGAGTGGACTGGATTTAAGTGCTACTTCTCAGGTGCCATGGTCTCCCCTCACTCTCTGTCTAGATGCAGCAGAACAAATTCAGGGCTCTCACAGGTCCTGCATTATGATGGCTTGCAGCATCATGTGTGTAATAATAATAGAAACAAAACACAGAAGAAATCTAATGCGCTTGAATCATCCCCAAGCCACCCAGTGCCTGAGGTCTGCGAACTGCATTCCACAAAACTGCTTCTTGGTGCCAAAAAGTTTAGGGGCCACAGGTCTAGGAGACATCTGTACCTGTCTCCTAAGTCTTGTAAGGTAACACAGAAGAAGAGAGGTGAACTTTCCTCCCTGACTGCCAACTTCTGTCTTCAGGTCATTTCTCTCTTCTACACTCATTGTTTTCATTCTGCTCAACCTCAACTGCTTCCTGGGGGCTCACACCCTTTTTCTTTCTTCTGGTGACTTTTTGCCTTCAGGGAATATCTCTGAAGCCAGATATAGCAAACCTTCTCCTAACTCCTAGGAAGGTCACAGCAAACCTGCTCTGTCATCTCAATGTCTCTGTGCCCCAATTTCTGCAGTAATGCAATTAGGAGAATAGGAGTCATCACCGCCATGTTTGTACCACTGGCTCATTCTAGGCAAGCTGCAAAGGACTTTCACTCAGTTAATCATCACACACATCCTCAATGAACTACTATGATTGTCTGATTTTCCAAAGCAGCAACTGAAGCTTAGAGAAATTGTATAACTTCTTTACCCCATTTTGGTTTTCTTTGCAGGCACATGATAATTCCTAAGCATGGTTTATTAACTGCTACCCTTTGAGGCCCCTCCCAATACTTTCTCTCCCTGCCTCACAGGGTATATTAGGTGCCAATACAACCCAAGGCATTTTATCACTGGAGGAAATCGAGGCACTGGGGGCCACATAAAGCTGGTGCTGTCCTGTTCTCCAGATGAGAGCAAATCTGTCTGCAGGATCTGGTCGTGTTTGTCTGTGAAGTGGGCTCAACTATGCCGTATTCTGGCCATTGTCTGGTAATCTTTGTCTTCCTAGGCATTCTGCAGGAAAATCTAAGAAATCAACAGTACCTGATTTGCAGCTCTGTGTGGAATGACACCATCAGTTGCCTTTGCGATATCCTCTTCCACTGCAATGGAAAAAGAGACATCATTTTAAAGAGACTGTAGTAGGGAAGACAGGGGTAATTATAATTAGTGCCTTACTCCATTGTCCTCATTTTCCCTATTTACAGAGATGACCAGTACATCCAAAACCCATTGCATGTGGCCCGTTTCATTATGTAGAGGGTAGAACTTGTAGGTTTAGAACAGAGCCCATATAAATACTGAAATGAAAGAGGTAAATGATTTCATCTTTCAGGCTAGGCCATCCCTAAGAGAAGCAGGGAGCAGGGGATGTTCTCAGCAGAGGGCCAACAGAAGGAAGGTCTGGAGGGGCAGAAGAGGCATCATGCAGCGGACAGCTCTGGCCCTGCGTCGTGAGGAGATTCCAGCATGACCTGCGGCACACTGCTCAGCTGCTTCACTGAGGAACGGCGATGTGCTCTCCGATGTGCATCTAAATAGCTTATTGAATTTGCAACTGAATAATGTTATTATATCACAGTAAGCCATGGCATATGTGTAAAAGTATTCTGTAGTTTATATTTTAATGCATAATTTACCGTCAATAGCATTTCGTATCAATGTACAAAGATTTATGCTCTTTCGATTTTCCTCCAACAATGCTGCAGTGACAACTTTGCATGTTTGTCCACATGAATGTACAGTACGTGCACACACATTCACACACACATTAACATGGCCGTATCAATCAAATTGATCCAAGTATTTCTGTAAGGTATATTTTTGGACTAAGTGTATGATCATTTTAATTGTGGAAGGGTATTGATGAATTCTCCTTCTGAAATTTATATATTTCTATCAGTGATGTACCAGAGAGTGTTGTTATTCCTGTTTCATTTATTTTTCTACTTTATACTCATTTATTATATTTTTAACTTTATTAAGTTTATATTTGTTGTCTTATAAGCATACATTATTTACTATAGAATAATTTAGGAAAAGTTTCAGCAAACATTTAAGCTATGAGATTAAATGCTGGGACAATTATACTTGTTCTAAGTAGGATCATCAATCTTTCAGAATAAAATTAATGAAAGCAATTACATTTGTTATACTCAGGTTTTTTTCACATCTTTAAAGTAACAGAATTGATGATGAGTAAGACATGGTTGAGATTTGAGGAAAGATGACTCTGTGGCTGATATCGCCCTTCCATTTGAGTGTGTGTGTGTGTGTGTGAAATTGTTTTTCTCTATTGAAAACCCGAGTGCCTAAAATGCCTGTGAAGCTCTATGATTACTCATTCTATACCACTAGATTTATCAGTGGAAGTGTCAGAAAATCCCTTAAAATATCTTCCCAATTGCTCCCACCTTTCATGGAACGCAAGGAAGTATTAGTGGAAAAGCAACCTACTCCATTAAATTTTACGATGTGGATGTGGCAGTGGTATAATTTTTGAGATCTCAGATCTATAATAACTTGGTAGGCTGTGCCTGGAGTGCAGCCCAGGTGGCCTTACGACAGCCGGGGTGTAAACCGCCAGCATCACCCCCACTGCGTCTGAGTGTCTGTGTCACTCCAGTGGGTACTTTCTGAGAATCACATATTTTATCTGCCATTTCTGTATTTCACAAAGGCTGGTTGGTTCCCATTTTTTAAAAGGTTGCTCAAAGGATGTAAAAATCTGGCAAATAAAATAGCTTGGTCTAACTCAAGTTAAAACACAAGTATAAAAGGATATTTGTAACACATGTTTCCCTACCCAACGGATAAATATCACTTACAAATAAGCAAAATGTATATTAAATGTGAATGACTGACATACTTTTAGAGTACTAGTACTCTATGAGCTTATTCAATAAAGTTGATTCAATTGATAATTTTTCATATTTTGAAAGATATTTCTATGCTATAATTCTAGGCAAGAACCAAACTTACATGTTAAATATTAGCCAAATAATAAGATGATTGTTAGAAAATATGAATATCTGTCAAATACCCTAAGATCTTCTTATCAAATTCAAGATTCCTTCACAAGAAGCAACTTCTTTGGTGAGACCGAGAGCCAGGTAAAATTATTTGGATCGATGTTCTAATTGTAGAGGCAGCCTTCCTGGGAAACCAGTGAGGAAAACTCATTGAATTATTCAATGTCCACCAAATTTGTGGAACTAGGATTTCTACTGTTTTCAAAGAAATGTTTAAAGCAGAAGCCTTAAGACTCTCTGAGGCTAAGGAAGAAACAACTCTTCTGGGTCGCTAGGGATTTGCGCTCTCTCCAATTAAGAACATTTGTTAAAGCAATTGAGTCAGTCCTTTCCCAGTCTGTTTCATCATCAATCCTGTTGATTACATTTTTAGATCAAAGTCGAAGGATTTTTCTCTGTTTCTGAGGAGGGCCATCATGAGCACATCTCTGCTCCGGTGTCAGAGCTGGCTGGGAGGATGTGGAGAGCCCAGAGGAGCAGGAGGACAGGGCCCCCATGCGCATCACCACAGCAGTGCCCCTTGAGGTTGTTTTGACCTGGACAGAGGTGTTAATTCCCCACCCAACACATTGCCATCCCCTTCTGTAATAGTAAAGTGTTCTCAGGGGCAAGCTCACCTCTGGGGCAGGACCGACTTGCTGTTCCTCATGCAGAATTACAGTTCACAATATCAACCACTTTATTGTTTGTTTCTTCACTAGGATTTGAACCTCAGCCACACAATCACATGAGTCTTACAGTACCTGGAATGTAGGAACTGAGAGGAACCTGAGTTGAATCTAACTCTAGGTTCTATTTCCCACTGCCATTGAGATTTGAAGACTTTTTTAAAATTTAGGCACAAAAATGTACATAAATTACTTTCAGTTTCTTAAGAAGGCAGTTTCAGGCAATGCTTTACAGTTATAAAACAAAGGATTATAACTTTCATTTCCTCTTGGCATCAACTTCTTTAATGAACCGATGAACTAAAGAAATTCAGCATCCACTTTCAAGAGGGACCCACACTGTTTAAAATCCAGGCAGGCCTCATAACTGTTGGGTTCATTATTTGGTATATGGAGCTTGATCCTCCTCTTGCTGCTTTATAACCCAGCACTACCTACAGATTCTAGCTATGATGATAAGTAATAATCCAGAGTCTTGCAAATTTGCTCTCCCTTTAGTCATGACTTTTTAAAAAATTACCCACCTTATAGCCTACACAGAAAAACCCAAGAGATTAAGCCCACTGCCCTTAACAAATGCCGCATGTCAGGTGCCTACTCCTCCCTGCCTCCAATGTGTGAGCTCTATAGTGTCTCCTGACTTCCCTTCAGCACCCTGAGAACCCCTTTCATTTCTTGGGGACCTGTGAATAAAGAGTTTATTCTGTGTCTTGTATTCTGTCTTCACTTCCTAATTGTTCACCACACACACACACACACACACACACACACACACACACACGCCAACCTAACTTTCTCTTTTGTCAGAACCCTCTTGGACAGAGCCTCTCTTGGAATAAATAAATTGGACATAGATCAGCTAAGAGACAAAGGCCATCTGCTGGTATAAACAGGTTTTGTTAAAAATGGAAAAAGAAATTAATAGACATTATTCTAAAAAAGACATATTTAGCCAACAGATTATGAAAGATGTTGACATCATTAATCACCAGGGAAATATAAATCCAAATCACAATGAGATATTAACTCATACCTATTATGGTTTCTATTATCCATAAAGGAAGAAGAAAAGGGACAGAGAAGGTAAATATGAAGAGGAACTAAAGAAGGAAGGAAAGAAGGAAGGGAGGGAGGGAGAGAGGGAGGGGCGGAGAGAGAGAGGAAATAACTATTTTTTTTCTTTGGTACCAGGAATCAAACTCAGGACCTTGCACTTGCCAGGCAGGCGCTTGTGCCACTGAGCTATATCCCTGGCAAAAGAAGTATTTTTAAAAAGACAAATGATGAAGTGCTGTTTAGCACTTTGTCATAATTTTCCAAGTTACATAAATTATCCTTTAGGGACTGAAAGTGCCATTTCAATTGGATTACCCAAAATCATGGATATTTATACATGAAATAAAGCTATGTTCATTACATAGAATATTGAGCTGGAATTTGAGGATATGAATTGCAGTGTGTCATCTGCTAATTAACTGCATGTGGATCCAGTTGCATAAGTAAAAATTTCACTAATCATTTTTTATCTTACTTCCTCATCTATTTCCAAAAGCAGAAAGAAAAGGTCTCTGTAACATCACCTTCCAAATCCCTCAGGAGTGTATGCATCAGCAGGAGGCTAGTGTGTATCAGAGCACAAAATATAAAGAGAATAAGAACTGTGAAATCCAGGGTCCTAACACCTTCCAAAATAAAGTCAGTGGACTTGAGCTCAGGAAAACCAATGAAGAATGCTAAACACAAGGAAAAAGTGTGGGCTACAGCTATTCACAGAAAGGAATAAATTTTTATATTAGAATATTTAAAAGGTTTTATAAAATTGGAAATGCCTGGAAGGAAGGAAAGACAGAAAAAAGGAAGGAAGGAAGGAGGGAGGAAGGAAGGAAGAGATGGAGAGAGGGAGGGAAGGGAAGGGAAGGAAAGGAAGGTAGGCAGGAAAGAAGGAATGAAGGAAGGAAGGAAAGAGCAAACACACAACAATATCAGTCCAGGTGGCAACTCCTTGGACACCAGACAGTTTCTGTCCTTAGAACTAAGTGGTGCTTTTAAGACATTTTCCAAAAACATGTAGTAACAGTGACCAGATCAATTTATCCAATAGTCAATTCCCAAATGTATTGCATAACCAATATTTTAAATTATTCACATCATTTACAGTAATGTGTAAACACTGAGATTTTTTGACACATTTTCAACATTTCTACAAATAATTGGATGAATTTTTGAATCATACTCTAGGGTCATTTCATTTGCTTTATCTTCAACATGCACACCCCCAGATCTGAATGTCATAAGTTTTCTCGGCCTTTGTTTCTATGCATTTTAGACAGTTTCTCACTGCATCCATAACTATTGAATAGTTATTATATGCTAAACATATTCTGGCCACTTGGGTTAACAAGTGAACAAAACAAATGGTATTTCCTGCTATGATGGGTGTATCTCCTAGGGAGGAAGAGAGGGAGAAAACAAATAAGAGACCAGCAAGGCACAGCTTGTCTTCTTAAAAGTTTATGTGTGCTGTGGAAAACTGAAAAGTTGAGCGTGGCAAAGAGGATTGTCAGGGCTGGAAATTCTGTGATTTTAAATAGATGGTCAGGGCACAATTTTTGGACAGCATCATATTCGAATAAACATTTGAAAATGTAGACAGAGTCAACCATATGGCCATCTGCACTCTAGGAAATTGTCTGCTGGATTGGAGAAATAGCAAGCTGCCCAATGAGGAAGGACCCAGAGGGCAGAGGAAGTAAAGCACAGAGAGGGTGGTGTGATGGGTTTTGTTTTTCATGAGAGTGAAATGGAGAGCTTTGATTGGAGGAGAGAGGAGGCTCAACTTGCCTGTGAAGGATCACTTTGGATGTTGCCATAGGTTGCAACTGAGGTGAGATGAAGAGTAGAAGATACAGAGGCAGAGGAGAGTTAAGGCATGAATTTCAGTCACCTGGCTGAGGACACATTGTGACTCAGACCAGTAAGGTTGTGAAACGTGCTGGATTCTGGGTAACGTTTGGAAGTAGAAAAGTAGAATTTCATGTTAGATCAGATATCAGGTGTGGAAGAGCAAAGAGCATGACTTAGTCCTGTAAGGGCGAACCTTTTAGTGGTTTTAATGATACAAAACAGCCCATTGCAGCTTGTGTGCCTTAGGTTCGCCACGACTGAGTCCATTGCAGCTGCAATAACAAAATACATTAGGGCAGGTAATCAGTAAATGATAGAATGTTATTTCTCACAGTTCTAGAGGCCACATCAGCAGCCAAGTCCAAGACCAAGCCATGAGCAGATTCAGTGTCTGGTGAGGGCCTGTTCCTCACTGATGACACCATCTTTGCATCCTCACACAACGTAAGGGCAGAGAGGAGTAACTCCATGCCTACAAGTCCTTATAAAAGGCCACTAATACTACCAAT